TAACTGCATAGTACATGATCTAATGTTGTAGATGATTCAAGTGGAAGGATCCCATTAAAATGATAATACACTTTTGTTCGTTCAGTGAGAGTAATATCTTTAAATCCAGCATTCAAGAAACTATCAACAACAACCTTAAAAAGAAATAAAATAGAATGCAGAAATTGTATATTGGTAATGATGATAATCAGATGCCACCATCACCCCCGCCCCGAAAAAAATATATTAAACTGTAGAAATTATCACATAAGCTAATAATATCGACATGGTATCTTACAAAAAATCAATAAAATGTGAGGATGAGGAATTAAGGGTAGTTACTGGTAATAAAAAAAAAGCTTAAACGTTTAATCATCTTACATATTGTGAGATATTACAATACGAATTCAAACTTTCAATCTATGATATAACCTGAAAATCATTCAACATTATCGACGGTTAACTGACTCGAAAGCTCCTCATGAACTATTCAATCAAAATAAGGATCGCATGAGTATCAACGACAGCCATCAGGATGAATTTACAACAATTTTAATAGGAAACAGTAACTGGGAAATTCCGACGGTGGCGAGAAAGGGGGTCACGAAAAGGTGTTATTGAGTGATTTCAATAATTCGTGAGTTGAGTCAGTTGGTCATTAGCAATATATAACTAGGAACACACATGCACCTGATCAAATTACCAAGAGATGAAATTATCAAGATAAATGTAAGAGTAGTAGATGTAGTAACAGTATCAGTGGTAGTAAAATACATTACGCCTAGACAATAGGATTCAAGAAGGAATGCATTAAAGGAATAAAAAACACGAGATGGTTTTAAAAACTCAAGATCTAAAAGAACATGAAAAGTAATAACACTTGCACAAATGAGACCAATCATAAGAAATGTCACATAACATCTCCAACCCCTAAGTCAGTTAGTCGTTAACAACGTAGAAATTCGTACGTACGTAAATCAGTTCGGGTTGCCACACCACATTAGCACAGAGATGCGGTTGTCCATTCAAATCCTGTAGTGGCAGAGGTGGTAAGAGTATAAGCAGTAATCGGAAAGATTAGGGTTTGAAGATGTTATTTAAAGAGTATAATCCAGTGAAACAAATTTGGAAAGAGAAAAAAGGGAGGTACGATATTTAGAAGATTAGAACTTGAGAGAACACAAAGAGTGGATGCACCCGTGCCATTGCAAACGATTTTCAGCCATGTCATTCAAGGTCTCTAACCATCGGTTGCTTTCATCTCGCAGTCCCCAACCAGGTAGTCTACACCTACCAACATGACTCAGTTCACTTGTCAGTGACTTCATGAACTTGTGCCATGTTTTGGTCTGGCCGCTCCTAACTTTCTTCCAACCTACTCCTATACCACTGAACATAGCACGTCGAGGTAGTCGGTGGTTGGGCATACGTAACACGTGTGCCAGCCATCTCAACTCATGAAGTTTCATCACTTCATCAATGGATTTGCCATCCTTACCCAGTACTCGTTCCCTAACAACTGCATTACTTACTCGATGGTCCCAGGATATACGAGCAATGTTTCGAAGACACCTATGATCGAATACTAGTAACCTACGAATATCCTCTACTCTTACCGGCCACGTTTCACTGCCATAAAGTAGGACGGAACGAACTGCTGAGCAGTAAACACGTCCTTCAGTTGATAGACAGATATCTCGCCTATTGCATAAATGACGCAAGTTGGCAAAAGTTAGACAAGCCTTCTGTAACCGTGCTGAGATTTCGTCACACACCAGACCACAAGAGTTGACGAGACTCTTAAGATAAGTGAAGCAGTCGACACGCTCAATTTCTTCACTCTCTATCATTAGTTCGGGTGTTAATGCAACCCAATCCTGAAGCAACATTTTGCATTTCGAGGGGGAGAATCGCATACCGAACATGCTTGCATTGTTGCTTAGAGTAGTCAGAAGACTCTGCATCTAGGCGAGGAAAGTGTTATCTCTAAAAGTACATCGACGACGAAGTTGAACAAGAATGGAGAGAGCGGACAACCCTGACGAACACCACTTGACGTAATCAATTCTGATGACAGTTCGCCATAAGCTCTCACTCGACCAGTTGTGTTCGAGTAGAGAGCCTTTATAAGGTTAATGCACTTCTTTGGTACTCCTTTCAGTGACAAACACTGCCACAGAACCTCACGATCAACAGAATCGAATGCTGCCCTAAGGTCGAGAAATACTACGACTGTGGGGCGTCTGAATGTGTGTCTGTGTTCTAGAACCTGACGTAGTGTAAATATCTGGTCTATACAACCACGTCCGTGTCGAAAACCAGCCTGGTTTTCTCTAATCGGCTCTTCACGAGCTTTGATTAGGCGTCGAAGTATTATTGAGGCTAATATTTTAGACACTATATTAGTCAAACTGATTCCTCCGTGATTGTCACAACTTCGAAAAGAGTCGGAGCACCTACATTAACTTGCCATTCAGGTCGACTGGAGATCATGAGAAACCGAAGTGTGGCTGAAGGCCAGTTGAACTGATCCCTAAAGTGTTCTGCCCATCGATCCAATCTCCTGGATTGAGAATGAATAATATGTCCATCTTTCTCTGAGATTGTTTCGCTAACAATCGGGTTCCTAATACCGGTTTCCTTAACAAGTCTGAACAATTGTCTGCTATTACCTATTGCCGCTGCCTTTTCCATCTCTCTTGCTTTCGCTACCCACCACTGTTCGCGATCATTGCGTAGGCTTCTTTTCGGCTTGTGCTTAAGCTGACTCCGCTCTTCATTATGTTCAGAGACAGGTGAAATGAGTTTCCGAGTATCTATCAGTGCGATAGATGCTGCTGAGCTCCAGTGTTGCTCCCTAACCTTCTGGTTTACCTTACTAGCAGACATCACTGCTGTTTCCACACCTTTTCGGATATCATTCCATGCTGCCTCAGGGTGGGCATCACATACATGGCTGCCTAACTGTTTTTCTAGTTGTTCCTGAAATATACTCTTAGCTTGACTATCATTAAGTATGACCCTAAGAGGTTTCCTTGCAGAGTCTTTCCTACGTCCAGTAAGACGCAAGCTAACACGCGCTCGCACTAGAGCATGATCTGAATCTAAGCATGTGCTCCAGAATGAGCGACAGTCTTCTATCGAACCCCTCCATCGGTGGCTGATAGCGATGTGATCTATTTGGGTCCAACGTTGGGACGGATTCGGGGGTCGCCATGTTAAAAGATGTTTTTCCTTATGCTTAAAGTTAGTGTTTACAAGGAACAAGCGGTTATCTGAGCATATTTGCAACAGACGGTCGCCATTATCTGTTCTTTGAGCCACGACACCATAAGATCCGCCTAGGTGTCTTTCCCTATCGCTTAGTTTACCTACTTGAGCATTAAAGTGACCAGCCACTATTACTACATCAGAGCGCCTAGCTTTTCGGAGAAGGTGGGATAGCTTTCTGTAAAATTCATCTTTTACATCATCTGAGCTGTAGTTAGGGAGATAATAGGCGGAGACGACCAAGAGGCAACGACGAGTGTCCTTATCTTTCCGAGTCCTTATTGTTCCGTTTAGTCGGACAGCGCACAAACGACTGTCTACTGGGATCCACTCTAAGAGAGCTAGTTCTGCCCTAGGACTCAATGCTATACCTACGCCGGCGAGCCACGAGAAGCAGCATCAGGGCTTCCAGACACACGGAGTGTGAATCGAGTTGGTTCTTTGTTTTGACATGGTGAGGTCAAATGAATGACGCTACTCGGATACTGTATGCACGTTTCGGAGACGCAGCACACATCGATGGCGCGAGATTCTAAAGTCCTAGCTAAGGAAGCCTGCTGTCCTATTTGGCAGAGTGTTCGGACGTTATAAGCTCCTCCGTGTAGTTTAGAGAGTGGTTTCAGGAGACCAGGAATAACGTTCCGCGTACTCGAATCGTTTGCCCTAGCGGTGCGAGGTGATAAAGGGACGTGAGAAGGGTTAGTCGTGGAAATAAGAAAGAGAGGTATTAAGAGATGTAGGAAGGATTCGAATGTGACCAACTTGGTCTCGTGTGCTGTTACGGGTATGAGGGCTGATGTCAATTCCCGGCTGCCCACACCGTGGATGGGTATTTCTCGAGGAGCCTGAAAAGGAAGTTGGGTTAATGTTGGCCTTAACGACCTGGGAGCGTGACCGCAGAGCCCAAGGGACAACTGTTTGAGGTCGGTCGCACACGACCTTTTTGTGGGAGGTTTTTAACTGGTTAGCTCTGTTCTTCAAAGGGCCTTACCGCCGGAGACGGGAATCCGTGAGGTAAAGTGAGGTGTGACACTGTTAGGGTCAACCTTTTCTAAGCCCCTCCTTCTTTGTGAGAAGGCAGCATCGCTGTAGATGCTGGTTGTTCGAGGGAAACACCTTATTGCTGTCAAACCCCTCTACAGTCAGCAGTACGACTTCGCCCTCAGACCTTGAGTTGCTGTTTTTAGTCTTACCGTTCTCCAATCGACCTGCCTGGCATGATAAAACCTGCAGGAACATATGTTCCAGCCAATATAGCTCGGTTGGGTCATCACGATAGGCAAGCCCGACCACCGCGTCAAGGTAGCAGCTACGGTCGGGATCTCCAACCACTGCTTACGATAAACACGCGTAACCCAATCAGGTAACCTAGGCCATGACACCACTTCTTAGTTTGGCCGCCCCTTTTTTCAGTCTATGCTTGGGCAAGTGACCATCATGTGTCCTGGTAAGTTGTGTTTAGGCAAACATTATAAATGACCCAACCCCCTCAATCGATGAGGATTTACTACCTCGTTAAACCGTCTGCCACCTTTACCTAGTATCCTGGATCTAACCTCAGGAGTTATTAATTGATGGTCCCAACATATGCGAGCAATGCTTCTAATACATCGATAATCAAATAGTAATATCCTCTATTCTCAAAAGCTAAGTTCCCCATCCATATGTTAATACATCTCGAAATTATTCTCCATAAATCATTTAACCAAACAATCAAAATAGTTAGAAACAGATTTTATACTTTTACTCACCTCCTTAATTCCATCTAAAACAATGATGAATCGATAACGCTGTTGTAACAACGGCCAAATAGTACTAGCCATAAGAGCTGTATTAGCAAAACTAAATACTACCATGTCTGCATCTGGTAGTGTCTCTACATCATCCCGATTATTAAAACGTGAACTTTTGAACCAAACAGACACTTGATATTCAGATGACCACTGACGATCAAAAGCAGCTAGATAATTGCCCCATCCAGCACATTGATCAATGGCAAAATAAACAATACGTTGAGTGAAGCCACGACAACGTGCATATGCCAAATAAGCAGCTATATCTGGCCCGGGACCAACACCAATACTAATAATACGACTAACATGATCCCGTAAATAAACTTCAACGTCTGGATTTTCCGGTATAATTCGATAGACTAAAGCCTAAAGCGTAAAAATTAAATGAACGAAATCGAACTCATTGATGAAAAACAATGAATACATTTATTAATGCACATATGATTATGTGTAAATATTCAACTCCTACCTCCTCTACGTTCTAGATTCCAGCCTTGATACACTTATTCTAATGACGTAAACAGATCAGTAATGTAAGCCTTGATAGAGTAAAGGAGGACAAACTTTGAATCCAAGATCCTGTATTAGCAACACTCAGTGGTTGTTTGAAATATATCCATAACCCTTGTGTACAGTAGTCGCAAACAACTTCCCTTGAATATTTCACTTTTTGAAAACTAACAAGTGGAATGAAGCTATAAACGATACGACAATAGATGTTACCAATATTATTGATATTACATACATATGTATCATCATACTTGTATACATGATACATGAAACATTTGTAAACAATAATAGATTGTTCATTATCTTTACTTTTAACAACTTCAATGATATCTTATGAATGTTGATATGTCATATTACGTAGATTCCTGATGATCTTATTAAAGGTTTACTTAGAAATGATTGATTCATTACAGCTTTATGGAACTAAAAAGTACCTAACTACTGCATGTATAAGTCTGCTGGTTTTCTTAAATCCTTAGTTCACTGCAACAAAAACCACAATGTTCATAAAAATAAACAAAAAAGCCCTCATTTAGAAAGATTGTACCTTTAAAAATTAATGGATAGATAGTTGATATAAATCACATTTTTTTAATTTTTTTTTTTGAAAATAAAGATATATTTAAGTTTCTTTTACCTGAAGGAAACTTGTAGAACTATTTATATAACGTTGTCGAGTGTAAGTGGCACGAAATGTATCGTTATCATAATAAGCTAGAAGGCATTCTTTACGACGTATTTTACCTGGTAAAATAAAAAAACGAAGAATCCTAGAGATTTAACCAATTTATAGAACTATATGAAACAAGAAGATAGAGAAGTATAACAGTTAATAAAGTTTTATTTGTAGGATTTGTATCAATTAGAAACTAAACATAACATAATCTACTCCCAAATGCCCTGGTACGGCCGAGAGTGAGGAAAGTTCGCTCTCCCCCTCCAAATGCTCTCAAATCGACACGCGTATATGGCCTCTGCCAGGGAAGTTCTACTCACTGCCTTCAAGCGACATCACTGTCTACGAAATTGAGAGGACGAAAACCGAATGCCTGGCGCTTTAACCGGGTTGGTGGACACATAGAGTTCACCTAGGGGAGTTGGAAAACCCTCATTCCAAACTAATGATGCACATGGGCTCCAGGATCCTAAGGAAACAAATGACGTATGAACGAACTATTGGTCACCGGTTACCATGGGACTGCATTTACTTTATTTATTTATTTATTTATTTGAACACATGAATATTGGTACAAGAGAGCGCCAATATATATGCGCCACATAAAACAATGAAAATTCGAAGAGAAGTAGAAAAAAAACTAAGGAGCGCAAAAGAAAAAGAGAACAATGACGAAGAGATTGGAGTAAGGTAGTGTGGTAGTAACGAGGGAACGAAAAGGTACAATCAGAAGAAATCTTTCAGGTAAAGGAGACACAACCACTTTTTATGAAGAAAGTAAAAGAAGGTTACAGCAGGATCGCCACTGGCTTCTGTTCTGAGACATATCTGATAACGTCCCTAGCCACTGTGTAGCATCATCTCTCGGACCCCAGCCACGGAGTCGTGAAGGACCAACACAAGCCAGTCCTTTGCAGCTTTCTTTCATACCACAACACCATGTCATACACTGACCACCTCTCCGCTTCTTCCAACCAGTCCCAGAGTCGGCAAATAATGCACGACGTGGAATTCTCTGGGACGACATTCGGAGAACATGTTCAAGCCACCGAAGTCGGTGTTTCAAGATGGTGACACCAATTGAATTATCATCCCTGTGCCCGAACACACGATGCCGAACCTCTGCATTACTGACATGGTGTTGCCACTGAATGTCAGCAATCCTTCGGAGACAGCGATGATCGAACACAGAGAGTCGTCTGACGTCCTCAACTCGGAGAGACCAGGTTTCACAAGCATAGAGCAAAACTGCTCTCACCGACGCGTTGTAGATCCGGCCTTTTACAGCCAGACTAACATCACGAAGGCGCCAAAGGTGGTCCAGATTGGCATAAGCCGCTCTGGCTTTCACTATTCGTGCATTGATCTCATCACTCACACCCCCACCAGCACTTATGCAGCTACCCAGATACACGAACTTCTCGACTACGTCTATCTGCTCACCATCCAGGGTGAGTACAGGATTGGAATCCTGCCAGTCTTGTAGAAGTACTTTGCACTTCGAAGGTGCAAAGCACATACCATACCTACGGACATTGATTGCCAACTGATTAAGTGCGGATTGCATGCCTTGGGCATTATCGCACAGTAAGACAATATCGTCCGCATACTCAAGGTCGAGAAGTCTTTCTCCAGGCAACAGATCCACACCACCATTACTTACATTCATCAGAGCTGTTTCCAGAATGTCATCGATGGCAAAGTTGAAGAGGAATGGTGAGATTGGGCAACCCTGCCTAACCCCACTGCTCGAATGGAACAATGGAGAGAGGTGGTTGTATACCCTCACTCTGCCTGAGGTGTTTTTATATAGGGCTTTTAGGATGTTAATAAACTTCTCAGACACACCCTTCTTCAATAGACAATCCCAGAGAACAGTCCTGTCCAACGAATCGAAGGCAGCCCTGATGTCAAGAAACACTACGATTGTTGGCCTTTGAAAAGTATGGCGGTGTTCTAACATTTGGCGGAGGGTGAAGATATGATCAATACATCCTCGACCAGAACGAAACCCAGCCTGCTCCTCGCGAGTCAATCTTTCTCGGGTTTTGAACAACCTACGAAGAATGACGGAAGCCAATAGCTTCGACGCAATCGGAAGTAAACTTATCCCCCGATAGTTGTTACAGGAACGACGAGAACCCTTTTTAAAGATAGGGACAACTATCGACTCATTCCATGACGTTGGTACACTCTCTAGTTCCCAAACCTTTGTAAACAACGTCGTCAATTCCTTAGTCAGAAAGTCACCACCATCTTTAAAAAGGGCTGGAGGTAAGTCATCTGGACTATGTGATTTGTAGCGTTTCAAGAGTTGGAGTTCCTTGCGGACTTCTGCCTCATTTGGTGGGTCAGTCGTCACCGGCCATGGAGGGCAGGGCAGTCTGATTGATGTTGCCGGAGCAGCAGACCAGTTGAACTGCCCTTCGAAAAATTCTGCCCATCGTCCAAGACGTCGATGGATGTTAGTGATTGGCATCCCATCATCCTCGCAGATTGTTTCACTCACACCAGACTTCTTGCTGCCAGTGGCTCGGATGAGCTGGAAGAGCTTCCGGTAGTTACCAGATGCAGCTGCTGCTTCCAGCTCATTAGCACGCTCCGACCACCAGGCTTCTCGGTCCTTATGCAAGCTTTGCCCAATTTCACTACGTAACAACCTTCGTTTGTGGTCAAACTCACGGTCACCCAGAGTAGACCGACGGGCTTCAATGAGTTGTAAGGAACCTGGAGAAACCCAGTGCTTAAAAGCGGGACGTTTCGCAAACCCACAACTGACTGTTCCCGCCATTTTCATGGCGTCATGCAATTGCAACCAATGCTCATCTATACTTTTCGGTGGAGTGGTAGCTAGCCTAGAGGCTAGCTCGGTTTGATACTTATTTGCAACAGAAGTTGCAACCAGCTTGCTAACATCAATCTTTTGGTAGTGGTCACTTCGTTGTCCACTGAAAAGTAAGGCAAGATTGGCGCAGACCAAGGCATGGTCAGAGTCCAGATAGGTACTCCAAAAGGAGCGGCAGTCTTGTACACAACCACGCCAGCGGTAGCTGATCGCGATGTGATCAATCTGAGTCCAGGCTTGGGATGCAGAGGGAGGACGCCAGGTGGCACATCGGCGATGACTGTGCCGAAAGTTAGTGCTAGCCAGAAACAGGTTGTGGTCTGTGCATAGTTGCAGTAGACGGTCCCCGTTATCTGACCTGCGACCAACGAGTCCCCATCGGCCACCTAAACGACTCTCTTCTGTGCCTAGACGCCCGACCTGAGCATTCAAGTCTCCGGCTAGTACTACAATATCTGCCGAACGCACTTTCTGGAGAAGAACTGATAACTGGTGGTAAAACTCATCCTTGATTGCATCCGGGCTGCAATCTGTCGGGGCATAAGCGGAGATGACGAAAAGACATCGTTTCTCACGCCGATTTCTTCTCACCTTGATGGAACTTTCCAATCTAACAGCACATAACCGACTGTTAATGGGAATCCAATCGATTAGTGCCGCCTCAGCTCTAGCGCTTAGTACGACACCAACGCCAGCAAGACCAGACGAAGATGCCACAGGGTCCCCGGATAAGCGCACGTAAAACAAGCTTTTCGAAGCGACAGATGGAGATCGAATTTGTAGTACTTCGCCAGAGTCTTGAATACGGGTCTCGGATAGACAACAAACATCAATATTAAGACTTTCCAAAGACATAGCCAGCCCTATCTGTTGTCCGACTTGCATAAATGTGCGAACGTTGAAGGCAGCCAGTTTGAATGGTGCACGTGGTTTCAGAAAAACTGCTTCAGTCCTCGTATTCGGTGGTAACATACAATTTTCAACCGGACAGTGACTCGAGAACGTTTAGATACAGTCGAATTTCCACCAAAGACGAGCCGCTGTATAAGTATAAAAGAGGGTGAATAATGTGGAAAATAATAATAATAATAATAATAATAATAATAATAATAATAATAATAATAATAATAATATTAATAACGATAATGGTAGTAATAATAATAATAGTATTAATAATGACAATAATTGTAATGATAATAATCTGAATCAATTGTTTGTTTTTCAAAGCGAGAAAGGTAATTTCCATAGGCATAAAGAGTTCATCAATTTGTGTGTGGGCTGTGATACTGCCCGGGTGCCCAAACCGAAGCAGGTGGTTATCTTAGGGGGCCAACCCCGAGCCTTTGACCTAAAGGTCCAACCCACAAGGCAGTGGAGCATCGTAAGGAGATGCAGTCCCATGGTAGCCGGTGACCAACGATTGGTTCATACGCAATTTGTTCCCGCAGGATACTGGAGCCCATGTGCACCATTGGTTTGGAATCCGGTTAAAGCGCCGGACATTCGCTTTTCGTCCTCTCATTTTCGTAAACAACACCCCCGCCACGAGAAGGCAATGAGTAGGACTTCCCTGGCAGAGGCTGTATACGTGTGGCCGTGTGAGAGTATTTCGAGAGGGAGAGCGGACTCTCCCCACTCTCGGCCGTACCAGGGCATTCAGGGGGCACTACATTTACTGACGCTGCTCCACTGCCTTGTGGATTAGACCTTTAGATCAGAGGCTCAGGGTGTGCTCTCTAAGAAAACCACGTGCTTCGGTCTGAACTCCAGGGTAGTATCATAGCCCACACATAAATCAAGTGACTTGTGTGGTGCATATGTATTCGGTGCCCCTTTGTACCAATATTTATATGTTCAAATAAATAATAACAGTGGATTTTGGGTAGGATCACCCGTTATTCGATTACTTTTAACAGTTGATTAGTTAGATAGCAACAAATGTCAACTTAAATTATGATTATCATGACACGGCTCTCCTCGTGGAAGTGGCCTGGTCAGTAAAGCGTCTGACGTCCAGTGTATAGGCGACACTATCTTATTAAGCAATTATATACTGATTGCATAAATAACGTTTAGTCAACCAGTAAAAAGTCCACACGGTACGCGTTTTATACCAATAAAAGAATTTTCAATTATGTTTACTCTAGATAGTGAACCATTGGGAAATGTAAAATATAGTAAGTCATAGGTAGTTTGTAATATTGAAAGGAGGATGGCATGACTTCTCCGTGCAACAAAAGCCATGGTAATATACACAAGCCTAAATCCCCTTTACGGTAGTAACAACATTAATTTGGCCAGAAAAGGTAATTTTATGCACTACTTTGCTTTTATGAACTCTAAAATTGACTGCTAGTAAAAATAGAGCCTGTAACGCCAGATCAAGATGCATATAAAAGGTTTTAAGCTAGAAACCAAATGACTAAAAGGCAATTTTTCAAGTCAATAAGCCACAACATTGTAACGTTTGGGCACATTCCCCGTTGTTCATCGACATGAAGTTATCTTACTACAAATAGATTAATGATCTGAATATATATACTATGGTAGACTCAGAACTTTCATATTGATTGTTTTCTGTTGCACATATATAGTCAGGGTGCACACGAAAAATAAATACAAAATTGAGTTTTAACAGTATTACCCCATTCTCTATAGAGACTTTGACCTCGTTGTTCACGATCGGATTTAAGTGTAGAGTTAAGTAACTTCTCTATTGGTTGATATAACTCCATTATTCGTTTGACTTCTTGAGCAAATTTAGCTCGTCTCTGAACACAGTTCTCCCATGCAGACCGGAGCTCTACATCTAACTCATCATCAGCAAGCTTTTGCCTTAAAAATCTCTCCCACCATGCCTCAACAGACTCATCCGACTCATTACTCCCAGCTTCCACTGTTCCCGTCATGAATGCACAATTCTGATTAAAGAAACAAGGATTAAGAAAACAGCACGAACGATATAATGGAATTGTTTTACTTATTTGAACACAATCATTACTAAAAGGGGCATTAAATACATAGCAATGGGGATTTGATGAGATAGAGAACACCCAGTACGTAAAAATGTGATTCAATTTTTCCGTGTTATGTTATTCGGTAGTAGTACATTCTTGACTTTTTCAGTGTATATATGGCCAGCATTTTTATCGATAGCACAGTTGTTTGTCTGAGATAATGCATCGTTTGTTTCAGCTCAATTATTACTCTGACATTATTATTATTATTATCAAATTCTCTCCAATTTGGTAGGTATAGTTGGAGTTAGTAAACGATAGAACATTTATTTATTGAGTTACATTCTCACTCTCCCTGCTTCGGTTTAGGCATCCGGGCATTATTTCAGCCCTCACACAAATCGTTCGATTTGTGTGGCGCATATATATTTGGTGCTTCCCTGTATCAATCTTTATGTGTTTAAATAAATAAAACGTACCATATAAATGCCAGAATATATATATATATATATATATATATATATATATATATATATATGATAAGATAGTCAGTTACAAGTGAATCAGAAATGTGCGGTCGAACGCAACGAACTATGTTTGGTAAACGAGTTACATTAATTGAGTCGTCCTAAAGAATTAAGCATCTCACTGTTCAAACTGTATACGATGCATAAAGGCTTACAGGTTTATATATCTCTGAACCCCGAGAACGAATATTACAGTACTTTAATTATCTACTTTGGATCCAGAAAGCTAGTTACCAGATACAGAACACCCATAGTGTGGGATTCAAAAGCAAAAGTTCTCAAAACACGGTCACCTTTATAAATTATTTGCTAGTGACTATTATATTAGCATAGAGAAGAATCAGATGCATGCGAACATTTTACTGACTGATGTGGAATAATTTAATACGTGACACTAGAAAGTCACTCAGTAAGTTACAACGTAGAACCTGCACGTATATATATATATATATATATATATATATATATATAACTCCTAGTTGACTGAACTATAACGTTAACTATCAGTGAATGACATCCTAGATCTATTCTGTAAAGCCATTAGAAAATATATAGATATAGTTTTACAGAAAACATGTTTAAGAAACTAACTTTATGTTTATACACAGGAGAATTTAATTAGGGGTACAGAGCAGCTGATCAAACTGTATGATGCCTTTCGGTCATAACAATGTAAAACAGCTTTGATGAAAGGCGGCACAAGTAAGAATGAAAGTGGGAACATTGTGATAGGAATTAAATCCGTGAATTTAGGTTAGTCGGTGTAAGAAATACACAGGTCAAGAAAAACCAATGGAATGAACAAAATTCGTTTTAAAAAACCACAGCGCTTATTACTTCCTCGTATTTGTAAGCCTTGTACACAAATTTGGACCTTTACATTCAAAGATCAAAGTTCGAAATAAGATTGAATGTTTTGATTACAAATAGATGCACAGGGCTGATGTAGAAGTTAAAATTTACAGCAATATCCTGACCACTTCGAGTCATTGGCTATAAGAAATCAGACAAAGGATTTCAAAGGCGAAAGTTTCGACTAAAGACTAAAAATAAAATCTCCGGAATGTTACTGGAAATGAAAAATGTCACAATGTCAACAACATATGCTATTGACTAAGCTGTCCGAATGATTTACATAGGGTGGTGAAGCATGATGGAAGTGATAGAAGACTCAGTGGATAGATACGGATTTTAAACCACGCTTAAATGAAGGTGCTTTCAAATAAACTATGTCGTGAGCTTGAGTTAGCGTTAGCATACAGTTCCACCACACCTCGAATTCGAGATGTATGTCATCAGATATCTGATATCATATGTTCATATATCGTACATAATTACATTAAGTCAAATCTATCATGGATATATTTATATATAGATTACTATATAATAGTCAACAGTCACAACTAGCTAGGTTACAAATATTAACTTCATGTGTATTGTATCTAAATCCCAATCTCCAAATTTTGGTGAAAAGTTTATCCATTTTGTGGAAGTCACTATGAAGAATTTTGGGTAAACGACACAAAAACTCCAAAAGCTTCCCCAGGTTCGAAGAAATTTCCCCAAAATTTGGGGAAAGCTGCTAAGTGTTATTGGATATTGGGGAAAAGCCCGAAAATTCCCCAAAACAGAGAGAATGGGATGACAGTAGGTCCCGATCCCCCGATTCTGAATAAAATTCGAGATTTTCCACATATCCGAAAGAAAGTTGGCAGTTTTTCACGAAGTTTGAGGAAAAACCCCAGTGTTATAAAATTCTGGAGAGATATTTCCCGAAAACTTTAGGGACTTTCCCCAAACCTGGGAAAAATTTGGGGTGTTGTAACATTTCCATGAAACTTCCCTGAATTTTTCATTGCGGCTTCCCCAAAATCCACCCAAAACGGACGAAATTTATTTCAAAAAAGGTGGATCGCGATATATGCACATATCTAGTGCGAAAACAGTGCGAATGCCATGGATTAAACGTTAATATTTAGCTGGAAAAATCTGTAGTCTTATGAAAAAAGTGGTGTTAGACATTCGGCTCCATTATATTAACTCAGAAAATCTTCTAATTGAAAAATGTGGAATTACATAAAAGGCGCGTATACACACCTGGTCACGACCTTCGGTAGGACAAAACGGCTTGCACTTCCAATAACTTTAGAGCTACATGGTTTGAACTACCTGATTTCTATACCCCTGGATCTTCAGGCTGTCTCAAATTTTTAACTGTGTCAAAAGAAGTTTATTTTAGCCAATAAGCTGCACTATTTCAAGTTGTGAATATTAATGTGTTTAATGTTTCCATTTTACTCCATTGTCTCACAGCAATATGGTATTGCTGGGATCAGTGAAGATCACATGTAATTTCCGCATCTGTCTTTTCAGGCGATAACCAGTGTTGTTTCCTTATGGTTATCTCGCATCCTTTTGAAACAGTCTACTGACTTGAACATCTGGTCTTACTTGGACCAATATAAACTGATTTGTAATCACAAATGAATGCATTCTACTTCTGTCCCCATAAGCCTTGTTTCATAAGCCAGTACCAATTTGCATAGCGTTTCTCGTCACTTGCTTCCAAATACTCATGTCTTTTATCCCAGTAATAGAGACAACGAGAATAGATTTGCAGAGTGAGACAGCACTTGCGTTTTAAACTATTCTAAGAGCAGTTGAGAGATGGTCAATTTGAGCTGTTCATGAAAAAGTTGAACAACAGCATAGGCCCTATTTACTTCATCGGTGCAACGAAAGGTGGGGGTTGATCATTGTACTTGAAATATGCCCAGGTTAAGTTTTGTCAAGACATCTGGAAGCGACGATTTCAAACGTGTCCACTACGTCGTGCGAGCGTGTAGGTATATGACGTGGTACTTAGCAAGATTGAATTTCAGGCCAGACGACATGTGAATGAAGGAGTCGTGACACATTTTTGCTGATTGTGGAACGATGAAGGACACAGTAAAGCTCCCAGGAAAACTCCGAATCCCAAGGCTCTTCAACTAACATGTATTCCAAGTCCTTGCGCCACTCAGTCACAAATTCTTTGGAACCACACAGTAAATTTCTCAGAGAAGATTGATAATCCATCAGAAGAACTGATGATGTTACGCTGCTCATGTTAACTGCTCACTCAAATAAACAAGAACTGAAAAGTTCTGTTATCTTCAATATATCTTCAATATCTTTGTCACGAGCTTGTATAATCCTACTGATTTCTTTGCTAACACTTCCCACTTGTTCGGTACTGTTCCAGGTATTCTACTTAACGACACTAATTTTAGTTTGTTTTTTTGTTATTTGAGAACATGCTTGTCTTTTAATTTAAGTACGTGGTTTTGTTTCAGGGCAGGTATGCTTATGGACGTCAGCAATTTTCGCATTACCAGGTAAGAGGTTGGCTTGTCGCAGTGTGATAATAATAAAGTGATGATTTAAATGATAAGAAATGTTCTTTCCAAGAATAAGTGCTTCTTTTACGTATTTGATAATGTGTAGGAAGACGGAATCGATAGAATAAGAAGGAAACAGAGAGAATTATCAGAGAAATAGGAACTGGTTACTGGTTGTGATTAGTGTTAACCTTGGCAAATTACGTGGCATGCATCAGGGACAGCTGGTTCAAAAGAGAAATGATAAGCCATGAGTGAGTACGTATTCATCCAAACTCCCATTAAACCTATCTACTAAGGGGGTTGTAGTCACGTCGGGTGTGAGAGCATTACAAATGCAAATACGAGAAAAATCGGGTGCGTATTTGAGTGTGTAGTGACTCACGTTTATCACGAGAACACGACTGGTTTAATAAAAACAATTATTATTATAACCAACTGTACCAGTGTTTGTTTTAACGTGCTTTTGTTTGACTGTGCTAATGACAGCTATTTTGTGCTTCCATTCTTATACACACACTTTGATTGTAACTTCGCGCGAATTCGGTTACGTTCTGTAACCAAGCTTGTATCCTGGCACGATCTCGGTATCCTTTCGATGCCACGAGATCGCCAGCAAATAAACATCGACTTGGTCCATTAATTGCCTTCTGGTATTCGGCTTCTCGGGGATTTTATGGAGTCATTTGGAACGAGCTTCTTACGCCTTCTGATCTAATTGGCACGTGTTTCTTGGTAGCGGTGTTCATAGTTAATCTCAACTCGACGCCACGCTACAATTGGTAATCCCAATCCGACTACAATTGGTGACCCGTATTTTGGAACACGCCTCAACTTCTGACCAAATCTTCCAAAGAAGCCAATTCGGTGAGTCTATGATTTATCTATCCACGTCTGTCGTATATTTTCATATTTTTTAATATATAATATACGCGACATGACGGATAACGATAAGAATAGTATTAATATAATAGACTCACACGTATGTGTACCGAATCCTTGTCACTTTATTCGCGTGATGATGAATTCCACGCTCTATTCGAGAAATGTTACCCTATTAACGATTCTCCTCGCTGACCCGGCTGCTTGGTACGGAATGCATACGCATAAGCATATCCGTCTACCACCCAGCACCAAATGGTTAAGTTGAACGGTTTCACTGCCAACTTAAAAGTGTTCTACGAGCACACGAAAACGGCAACTGGCACGAAACCTTACCGCTCGTTCTTTTAGGGGGGGAGAACGAGCTTAAAGGCAGATATCCAATGTTCCGCCACTGGACTTGTATACGGCACGACATTGCGTCTGCCCGGAGAATCCTTCACACCACGGAGCAGACCTAATTTCGGTAAATCAGACAACGTCCGTCGACTGTCTGCATTTATGTGAACGCTGTCTCCGGTGTCAACTCGAATACAACATCGACAGGTCGCTCTCCCTCGAGAGTTATCTACCTGTTCACATGTTTTTGTACGAGTAGATTCGGTACGCAAACCTTGGCAACAACCTTACGAAGGCCCTTTTCACGTGATCGCTCGTCACGAAAAGACCTTCAAGGTTGATCGACATGGACGCGTCGAGATCGTCAGCGTTGATCGTCTCAAACCAGCACACGTCGATGACAGTGCCCTATCTGGTAACCTGAGATTCAATGCTAGACCTATTAAACCTAGCGGGATCCTTAAATCTTCTTCAGGTCCCACGCTAGATGCATCTGAGACCTCATTCTCACGTCCCGGTCAACAGCACGCGTCATCTGCACCGTCTACGGACGAGACGATAGTCTCACGTCCAGATCAGCAGACCACGCCGCCTCTGACCTCGGATGAGATTGCAGGCTCACGCGACGCGAACGAGACTATCGTCTCACGTTCCGGTCGCCGAGTACGGTTACCCGTACGCTTCCGCGAATAGTCGCACAGTCAATAACCGATACGGTGTAGGATTATTCCTATACTACACGTATGCTACACTCTATTTTTTTGATTTTCTTTTTGTTTCCTGAGCCCACGCCTTCGACCATCTCCGTTTGGTTCCGTCGACTTCAGTCAACTTTGGCGAAAGCTGGCCTGATCACCCACGCTCTTGTCAACGTACTCAGTCGATATATTGGTTTCGAATGCTTGGCATACGCTTGGTCTCGAACTTGGTCGTTACGGTCGCTTCTGGTCTTTTGGCTCAACGTGGTTTCGTCCTTCGTCTGCAGCGTTTATGGTCCGGACCCGTACGAACGCCCTCTTCAGATTCTGGATACAAACCACTCTGGTGTAGCATGCCGACTCAAGCAACAAATACAGCACATCGCACCTGGTACCGTTCTCCGAAAACGACCTTCGTTGGCAACTCGACGATCAACGATCGCTTTCCTGTTCGCCAATCTTTCCGTCCTACAATCGCTCGTCAGCCGATCAGTCCCACGATTCAAACCGCTATTTATCGAAAGTGTTAACCCTTTCTAGCGGGGGGCTCCTGTAGTGACTCACGTTTATCACGAGAACACGACTGGTTTAATAAAAACAATTATTATTATAACCAACTGTACCAGTGTTTGTTTTAACGTGCTTTTGTTTGACTGTGCTAATGACAGCTATTTTGTGCTTCCATTCTTATACACACACTTTGATTGTAACTTCGCGCGAATTCGGTTACGTTCTGTAACCAAGCTTGTATCCTGGCACGATCTCGGTATCCTTTCGATGCCACGAGATCGCCAGCAAATAAACATCGACTTGGTCCATTAATTGCCTTCTGGTATTCGGCTTCTCGGGGATTTTATGGAGTCATTTGGAACGAGCTTCTTACGCCTTCTGATCTAATTGGCACGTGTTTCTTGGTAGCGGTGTTCATAGTTAATCTCAACTCGACGCCACGCTACAATTGGTAATCCCAATCCGACTACAAGTGTCTGCTCTTTGGTGAACAGCTTCTCGAGGCTTGATTCGAGGAATAAACGATCATTAGAAACACTAAACTTAATAGGATGGGAATCACAAAGTTTAGCATTACTTGCAGTGAAATGAATAGTAGCTTTACAAACTACCCGTTTGTGTTCAATTTTACCACATTTAAAGCATTTAGCATTACGAAATACATGTGAATTAAATGAGTGAAATTTGGCACAAGATAAACATTTACCAAACGTTTGCTCATCTTCATGACCTGCTACACACTCCTCGATCAAATGTTATCTGCAGACCCTCGAGTGCGCATTATATTCGGTGACGTTTTTCTTCTTTACCGCGTTCGAAATTTGTACACTCTAGATGATCTAGTAGCAATTCTTTTAGAGTTGCATAGGAAAGTGAAATTAGTTTTTCTGAGAATGTTAAAAGGTTTAGTATAACTTCCTTAAACAGTTATCAAGAATTCAAATTCCTTAGGCTTTCTCAGCTTCGAAAAAAGACATTATTCTTTAGCACGAGTTATATTCGATAATCGTGAAACTATGTATGAAAATATGACGACAGATAAGAAAACTTCATCATGTGACACATTTTCAGGTAGTGATCGTCCAATTATGCTGAACATTTCTAACTCAACGCCTTCGATTCGTTGCACACTTTATCGTCCAAATATTTTTCCTCGCTGAGTTTATTTCAGTGTTTTGGTAGTGTATCACTCATCACTATTGCTGTTTTTACGCTGATTGAATGTATTTCAATTAGAGTATCTGCCAGAAGTATTGTTCTTGCTAATTTTGAATACATTGCTTGTTTTTGCATTTGCTTGCACAT